AATATCACTATCAATTAGCAATAAATTTAAGTATGATCTAGATATGTCATGGATATTAGAGGTATAAACTTATCTTTTACACTTTCGTGTAGAAGAAATGTGTCCACATTTTTCTGGATACTGGAAACACTGATATATATTACTCTGAGATGAGCAAAAAATTCTAAATATTGTATATTTCACCTTATTTCCTCTGGATAATTGTTAAATTTCTGCTTTTAAAATTCAATGAATGTCAAATTCCCTAACCTTTTTTATTTAGTAATATATTAAAAAAGTAAGTCCATATTCTTTACAATATTTCTTACTATCTCTGTAGCTTATTAAAATAGGTCTCTCACTTAAAACATTTTTCTTTGTAGATTTCTGTCACTGTAAACCCTAGGAGTATTTCTACCATTGATCTTCTCTGTCGGTTTTTCATCTTTCTGCTACTCCAAAATATGAATATTTTCCAAAATTATGACTTTAGCCTTCTTATGTATTCCAATCCTTTTAAGTGTTTCTATCTACTTCTGTGCCTTCAAACTGGCCTATTATTTGACATATTCTTAAATCCATATCTACACTCACCTACTTTTATTTTCTACTTGAAATTTTTACTAGTGCACCCTAACATTACCTACAAAACTAGTTGATTATAATCAAAAGAATATCTAAATGATAATTATCCCCAAATCTATAAGGATCACAATTTTTATAGCATGGCCATTCTTCAGACTTACTTTAGACTTACCTTTTCCATGCCTACCACATTTAAAGTTTGCCTACATCCAATGTCTCCTATGATGTATCATAATTTTTGTCCTCTTGAGTACAGTTTTCATTGTATTGCACTAAAACCTCTAGCAGTTTTTCTTTCTATTGAACAAATATCAAGACATTAGACTCTCATCTGAGAGATACAATATGTGACCATGAGCCACTCTTCTCAGTGTTATCTTAACCATTTTCTAATATGAATTATATTTTACAGAAAAGACGTTGCATCTTCCTTGACACACACTTTGTTCAAGGTTTTTCTTCTATTACTTCATCTTTGTATGTCAACTCTATTCACCCTTCAAAATTTACCTCAAAAGTAAATTCTCCAAGTATTCCTTACAAATGACCCTTGCATGTGATCAATATCTCCTTTGAATTCCTACAAAATCCTTACAAAAGGGCTGCCCATGGCTCACTTGGGAGAGTTTTGTGCTGATAACACCAAGGCCAAGGGTTCGGATCCCTATATAGGGATGGCCGGTTTGCTCACTTGGGAGAGCATGGTGCTGACAACACCAAGTCAAGGGTTGGGATCCCCTTACCAGTCATCTTTTAAAAAAAAATCCTTACAAAAAAGCAAGTAAAATGGAAAGGAGAAATAAGGTCACTTTCTGTGAAACTGCTTCTATTTGTCCTCACTTATTTACTCAAAAACTCCCTGTACAATTGATTGTAAATGATAGCAAAGATTTTGTAAGGAAAATAGCATTGTTCAATATCTCTGTGAGAATTAGCAAGAAGAAAAAAATTCATAGTCATCACATAAGTCAAAGAGACTGAATTTCTGAAGAATAATATGCTTTCAAAACAAAAGTAATAATGGTTGGTGAACACAAAATGGGGTACTAAGGAGGATCCCCTATCAACTTCTAGTCCTTCCCAAAATAAGTAGGATTTAAAATTTTTCTTAGTAATATGCTAGGAAGGTTGTGTTTTTTTTAAGTATATGCATGTAAGAATAAAATAAAAATAAGCAAAGAAATAAAAGCAGAATTTCAATTTCTATTTCTTGCTGTCTAGAATATTTATAGATTTTTTTTCCTACAAAACTGATTACTCTTGCAACAGGAGCT